AGATGAGAAAATCTGAGGCACAGAGAGGTTTGGGAATTTGCCCAAAGTCACACAGCTAGTAAGTGGCAGAGCCTGGGTTTGGACCCAGGCAACCAGAACTCCAGAGTGATGACTTTCCTTTGCCACAGCACAGAGATGCTTCTCTTCATGAACTTCAATTAAAGTTAAATAAATGAATGAGAACATAAAGAACAACAGAAGATTTGGGGAATTGGTAACAAGATAGGAACATATTTCCCCAGGAGAGCTTTTGCCCAATACTAGCTATGTCTGTGGCGAATAATTGTGTAGCCCATAAGACTCAAATCAGGGCCAAAGAGAGCTTCTGAGGCAAAACTCTGGCCATCAAGCTTTCAGCACATTTAGCTGAAGCTAACAGGGAATCCTTTCGTTAAAGCTGGCTGAGGGGTGCTGTGAGCAGGCAGGGACTCCTGTCCTTCCTCTGGAAAGGTGGGGCCTGGCAGACAGGGGCCAAGAATCAGTCTCCCAGTTGAGAGAACCTGTGATTGGACAGCACACCGACCCTAGGTCTTGCTCTGTCATCACTCAAGCCATTGAGGGCCACACCCATCCTTAACAAGAACTCCAAGCTTCTTCCCAGCAGTGAAACGCTACAGATTATTTTGGAATTCACATGGAAACCTAACAGTTCCAGGAACAGCAACTCTCACGGTGCTCCTGGCAACTTCTCAGCCTACTTCCAAACAATGGCCAAATGTCCATGGCAGAAGCTCTTGGTCTTCAAACATGGTCAACCCAAGCCAAGTCTCGATGTCATTAGTTATTGTGTTGGCAATCATATGGCTGTGAGAACTGCAAACACGGATAACTTGCCTCCAGGCAAGAATTCTCTTACACTGCTTGTTTTAAACAAAATAAACAGAAAAAGAGACGGCGCTGTCACTGCTGCTTTCAGTGTGAAATTGTCTTAACATCAATATCTCTCTGCCTCCTTTAATATAACTCGACAGAAAAAAGTGGGAAGGAGCAGCTGCCATTGCAAAGCTCCCTATCTGTCTATCGGCAGATGTACACTGGGAGAAAGTGCACTCCAGAGTCTCAGTTTGAGACATGAGCACAGCACTTGATAAAACGTTGGTGACTACACCCACCATCTTGCTTCAGTGAGCACAAAATTAAAAAGTAAATATCTGGGCTGGGATTTCCACATCTGCACCTGAGGGCAAAGGAAACTACAGACCCTCAAGAAGGGGAAAAAGCAGGGAGAGACTTACAGCGGAAAACACGTTTTCCACTTCTCTTCTCCTCCCATCCCATCCCAAGTCCCTTCTGTTTGGTGTCCTCCTGGCTTTGATCCACTTGGAGTCAACACTAGGAATTTGAAATATAGTAATAAAAAAGAGTGCCCTCCTTGGGAGCTGCCTGATCCAGTCGCATGTAATCAGCGTGTCTGGGAGACAATGCTAGGAAATTGGTGACCTTGGTCCTCTTGTTCCTATTTGCTTCTTGCCCACCAAGCCCCTCCAGCACTGATGCTCAAACTCTGAAAGTACATTGGCTTCCAGAAGGACCCTGGCTCTACCAATCAAGCTCTCTGTGACTGTGGGCAGGTTAGTTAACCTTTCATCACCTTTAGTCTGTGAAACAGGGCTAATGAACAGAAGTAACAAGTCATAGAGTTGTTGTAGGGGATAAAATGGGATAATGGGAGCAAGGGAAATTAACATAAGAGCATCCAGGAAGCTACGATGTTAACTCTTAGTAATGTTCTTTTTATTACCCACCCGATTTCTTCATTCAAATCATAAAGGATCCATTAACCAGGGCTCGGACCAAAGCAGTTCATTAAAACTAATGTAGTGATGTTTTCATGTTCAGCTTAAATGTGAAATAAAAAGCTGTTTCCTGGATTTCATTTATTCAACAAACATTGATTGAAAACATACAGGATTCTGGGTACCAAGAATCAAGGCATTCCAAGTACACAGGAGGAGCTCAGGAAACGACTGGTAAATGAATGAAGGAATGAGTGGCCCTCCTGCAGATCGTCCTCTGGGATAAAACTTCAGAGGCGACTGGGGACAGAGAGGCCATCCATCCCTTCACCCCCAGTGCCTTCCAGCCTGGGTATTCCCCATTCCAGGCCAAGGCTGCCTGCCTACCGAGCACTGGCTTTAGACCTTCTCCTGTTTCCTTGCTTGGCTTCCAACCAAGAAGTTCTGACAAAGAAGCAGTCATTAGAAACACATCCTCTTTGTATTGCTATAGTCAGGGGTTATAAAGGATGTTCAAGAAGAAGGCATCTCACATGCATATGGATAGTACCTTCACCCTTTATTCCAGTCAAGGACTTATTTTGTCCTGTACAGCAGGGCCATTTTCAAACTTTAAGTACCAAGTAAGTGAGGGATACCGTGTGCACAGCTGGCCTGGAGCATGATCAGGATGTGGCATCTGCACTTTGATAGGCTCTGGGAATAGGCTACTTGTGCCTATATCTTTATAGGGTAGACATCAATGTTTTAAATCCTACAATATCCATTGTCCCTTATTTTGGTAACTAGGGGCATGTCTACTCCTTTGGAAGTGACAGATGGGGGGGGACACTCACCCCCAGTCTCCAAAATGTGGCAAGTGCCACAAGCCCAGCCCATCAGGGCAATCAATCTACAGAGCCACAGGGATGGGTGAGGGAGGATGCCTGACCCAAGTTGGTGTGCTCAGAATGAGTCCCATTACTAAAGCAGCTGCTTCTAGGAGGGAACATGATCTTCTTTTACTTTTAACATGGAGGTCAAAGTGGGAGGAGTGACCTCAGAGCCTCAAGATGGTGTTTGGGAATCAAGGGATGAAGCAAATGCAGGAATAGAGAGCTCTGGGCCACAGGCAAAGACAGCTCGGATGCTTGCTGGAGCCCCGGAATCAACCCCATGCTCAAACCCTGATTTCCTCTGGATTTTTCAACTCTGTGAGTATAAATTCTTTTATTTCTTGCTTAAGCCGTCAAGGTTGGGCTTTCATTTACAATGAAAAGAGTCCTGTGTTACCCACAGGACTTGTCACTGTGCCCAAAGTTTCACATTACTATTTCTTTGCATTAATGCAGGAAATAAAACTGTGAGATTGCAAATGTGTTGTCAGCCATCAGCCCAAGAATTCTTGGTAGTTGTTTGATAACATTGTTGTCATTTACCTGTCGTATCCACAACTGGACCGTATCCACAACTGGACCGTATCCACTCCAAGAACAGAACTCAAAGTGGCATTAAATAATGTGGCAATGTCTACTGAGAAGTTTCATAGCCTCTACCATGCCTTTTAAGTGATCTTTCTGAGAGCTCTCTGGAGAGCAGTAACTTAGACACTGGAAACTTCTTGAAAGTATAGAGCTTGCTCTCAATAATGAATGGATAGGCTTATAGAGGCAGGGGAATGAGGAAGAATATTTCTCTTGTTCAGCAAGCCTTTTGTTTCCAGTGACTTCCAGAGACACTGTGGTCCCTAAAAGAAGAACCCAAAATTCTCTTCCTCAGAAATTCTTTTACTAAGTCAATCAATAATATTTATTGAGCACCTGTCACATACTAGATGCTACACAAGTCACTGGGCACTGGAATTTCAAAGGGGAAAGAGAGCACTTCTTTCACAAATAGCTCCAAGTTCAGAGAGTAATGCACACACCTTTCCCCACAACTCCAAGAGGGACGATTCATGCCAGGACAGAGATGAGTATGCAGTGACACCAAGCAATGACAAGGGCACCTGCCCCAGGCAATCAGATGGAGGAAGGAACTCTGGACAAGGTAATTTTTGAGCAGGCGAATGGGGAAGGGAGAGGAAGAAAGCAAGAAGAGGGATTAGGTATCAGTTTGGGAAACTTCAGGGCATTGAGTGACCCGGATTCATTTGGCAAACTGAGCTCAGGTGTGTGGGTGGGGCTCCTCCTGCCAAGCCAAGGACCACCTTGGACGAGGGGTGACCACCTTGGACGAGGGGTATCCATCTTCAGCACCTCCCCGTTTGCTACAGAATAAAATTGACAACTCTCACTTCCTTAAATCAAGACCAACAAGACTTTATTTTGCAGTTTCACATCATGAGAGCAGCATCTGAATATGGCGTTTTTGTTTAAATCAGCTGTATCCTGTCCTTATCTCCACTGTCCTAGTAACTTTGGGTCCAGGAGATGGGAGGAGCCACGAGGAGCCCCAGAGTCCCAGCTCCACCCTCCACCCCGCCCCGACGCGCACATGAGAATCATTTTCCATTTGCTATGAAGTCACTCTGAAAGTGCCTGCTTTTCATTAGGATGTAACACGATAGCCCCTCGGGGGCTGCGCCTGCAGCAGAAGTGAAACTGCCTTTTCCTTCCGACTGGAGCATTTTCTTTCCCTGGCTCTCCTCCTTAGCCTAAGTGTGGTGGAGTCTTTTGTCTTTTGTTCAAAAAACTACACCTAAGTGGCCTCCATAGTCCTGTTGTTGTTGTTGCTTTGTGTGTGTGGTTTTGTTTGTTTTGACACGCATCTTTTCATAAAACGGGCCAGCTTCCAAAGGTACAGGCTCCTTCTCCCACATGCGTGGCCGTCGTGGGTCAGATGTGTCCCAGGTGTGGCTCCGTCAACATTCCGTTTGCACATGATTCTCATTACTCGATCCCCAAGGGTTGTGAAAACATTTGCTTGAGCCTCCCGCAAACGGCCACAGCTATGAACTGGCAAGCACCAATTTGGAAAAGCACTGTTTATTTAAAATGTATCGTGAGCAGCCCACCATCTGATGCCTACTCAGCTCCACGCAGCTTCGCTGCCCCCCAAGCAGGTGAACCCCCAGCTGCCTCCTACCTCGCCACATTTCTGAAGGGCCCGCCCTGGACATCCGCACGCCCAGCCTGGGACACCAGCCCCTGCGGGACCAGCGGCGCAGGCGCCATCTGGCCTCTGTGGCCCGCAGCGTCGTTAGCCTCCGCTGGCTCCTGTGTCAACTTACACAACTCCAATGTGTTCATGAAGTCTTTTAAAAAGTACTTTTCACCCCTTCCTGTGCCCTTTTAGGGCTGATGCAGGGCTCTAAAAGGCTAACACGGAAGGAAAGCACATCTCCATAAAACCCGGAGAAGAGATTATAAATCTTCTCTTTGGGTCCTATCTGGAGACACAAGTGAAACAATAAGAAAAACCTTTCATTTGATAATCCGTTAGCTAAACGCAGCTCCTAGAAGGGAACTGACAAGATCCCTAAGGGAGACAGAAGTAGCTTCTTGTATAAGGGGCGCTGAGCCAAGAAGGAACGCTTTGGGGCGACTTGTGAAGGTTACTTTTTCCTCTCTGTGCCTCTGTTTCCCCACTTTTAAAATTAGGGGTTAGACCGGATGATCCCTTAGCTACATCCACGGCTGAAATATTATGATTCTATTTCATTGAATATAGGTGATTTTTTAAAATGAAGTAAAATTGAAAAATTAATTTGACTCAATATTTTCTTTTTTATCAAGCAGAGGAGAAACCAAAATCTCTCATTTGTCATCAATAAAAAGGAATCATCTTTAGAGTGGGAATGAAGGGAGAAAGTTTTAATCATGGAATAGGAATTAAGATGCTGTGTTTCTTTTTTGCTCTTTTTGAAGGCTTGAGCATGGAAAATATTCTAACCAAAGGCAAACTTGATCTAGATCAATGGTTCTCAACCTGCGGGTCGCGACCCCTGTAGGGGTCAAACGATCCTTTCACAGGGGTTGCCTAAAACCATCACATATAACCCATACAAATATAGGTGTATGAAAATAATTTTATGGTTGGGGGTCCCCACAGCATGAGGAACTGAATTAAAACGTCGCCGCATTAGGAAGGTTGAGAACCGCTGATCCAGATGGTAGAGTCACCTCCTTTCTGTCTCTGGAAGTTGGAAACAGCCCCAGCAGCACACGTGGAAACAGGGAAGGGCAGTGTCACCACTGATGATCAAAGGCCTGGAGGGGCTACAGTGCCCCATGTCATCTCCAGAGAGTTTCAGAAGAGCCATCTGGTAGAGCCATCCCTATGGGTACCCAGAGCCTGTCCAGAGGAGTCCTTGGTGGCAGAAACAGCTCTCAGCCTCCTTCCTGGGTCCAGCTACTCCATGGAAAAGAGAAAGAAGTATAAAAAGGCACCTCCCTCTGGATCCTAGTTAGATGAGCCTATGCTTTAGTTTATTTTAATTCTTTTAATTGACAGGTGAAAGATGGCATATGTTTATGATGTACAATATGATTTTTTGTTTTGTTTTGAGACAGAGTCTCACTATGTTACCCTAGGTAGAGTGCCATGGCATCACAGCTCACAGCAACCTCAAACTCTTGGGCTTAAGTGATTCTCTTGCCTCATCCTCCCAAGTAGCTGGGACTACAGGCGCCCGCCACAACACCGGGCTATTGTTTTGTTGCAGTTGTCATTGCTGTTTAGCTGGCCCAGGACAGGTTTGAATTCGCCAGCCTGGTTTTATGTGGGTGGTGCCCAACCCACTGAGCTATGGGCACTGCCCCAATATGATGTTTTAATATATGCATATACTGAGATATGATTAAATCAAGCAAATTAATATATCTATCACCTCAAATACCTTATTGCTTTATGGTGAGAACATTTAAAATTGACTCTTTTAACATAATAACTAAGAAAATGACATAAAGGCTATGTTAACCAGTTTGATGAAAATATTTCAAATTGTATATGAAAACACCACACTGTACCCCATGATTGCATTAATGTACACAGCTATCATTTAATAAAAAAAAAGTAAATAAAAAAATAAAATACACTCTCTCGGAGATTGTCAAATGCACGTTACTATTAGCTGTGGTCAGCATGTTGTACAATAGATCTCTAGCGCTTCCACCTGTTAACAGAAACTCTGTACCCTTTAACCTCCTGATTCCCTGCACATCACCTCCTCAACCCTGGCGACCACTGTCCTACTTGCTGCTAGTTCTATCTGACTTAATTTTTCCAAAACAACAGAGTCTACATGGGGATGAATAATAAGGAAGAGAATGGAAAAGTGCAGGGAACAGAGGTTACTGTGGCTTCAGTGACCAGTAGAATGGAAGCTCTCCTACCCTTTCCTGATCCTTCTATACTGCCTGCTGAAGGCATCCTGTACAAACATGTCACTGAAGAAATTAAACCCAGGCTCGGCGCCTGTAGCTCAGCAGCGAGGACACCAGCCACATACACCAGAGCTGGAGGGTTCAAATCCAGCCTGGACCTGCCAAACAAACAATGACAACTATAACCAAAAAGATAGCTGGGCATTGTGGCAGGTGCCTGTAGTCCCAACTACTTGGGAAGCAAGAGTTTGAGGTTTCCGTGAGCTATGACGCCACAGCACTCTACTGAGGGTGATGTAGTGAGAGTCTGTCCCAAAAAAGACAAAAAAAAAAAAAAAAAAGAAGAAGAAGAAGAAGAAGTTAAACCCAAAGCAATGCCAACCTTTGTTGGACTTCCCACCCAGCTTCCAACAACAAGCACTGGAATATTAGTATGGATAAACATGGGGCTTTTTAGGTGTCCCAGTGCGGTGTCCTATATTGATGGAATTCCTCCCTTTGTAAGTCTTCAGGGGGATCATGGCCGCTCCTCCCACTAAGGCAAATGAATCTTGCTATTCATTTTCCCAGCCCTCCCCGCACTGGGACATGACTTTGTGACTTAACTGTGGTCATTCAATAGTACCCACCCAGCACTTGGTATCTTGAGGAAGTGACATGCACCTAAGGTTCAGTGACAGTCACTCGTGGTGACTTCAGAGAAACAAGCAGTTCTATAGGGAAGGACTGGTACTGGCAAGGCCATTCCTGAGTGGGACCATGGCTATGCTTCCTCTGTCCCCTCTGGAGCCCCTTCTGTAGCCCTCCTGTCAATGGTGCTATTCCCTGACAACCTGCACATAAGTTTTCTTCCATTTAAGTTACATATAGTCCACTTCTATTGCTTGCAGTGAAGACTGCATACACAAACACAAAAAAGAGATAAATCACGTTGGAATGGGTTCATTTCATGCTCCCTTTGTTGAAATCAAGAGGGGCCACGTGTCTTGTTTAGCACAGGAAATGTGAGAAGAAACAACCATGTGTCACTGGGCAGAAGTTTTAAGAACCAGCCTGTAGTCCATTCCATCTCTTTTTTTCTTTTCTTTTTTTTTTTTTTTTGAGACAGAGTCTCACTTGGTCACCCTTGGTAGAGTGCTGCAGCATCTTAGTTCACAGCAACCTCAAACTCTTAGGTTCAAGCAATTCTCTTGCCTCAGCCACCCAGGTAGCTGAGACTATAGGTACCTGCCACAGCACCCGGCTATTTTTTTAGAGCTGGGGGTCTAGGTCTTGCTCAGGTTGGTCTCTAACTCGTGAGCTCATTCAATCCGCCCGCCTCAGCTTCCCAAGTGCTGGGATTACAGGCGTGCGCCACCACCCGGCCATTCCATATCTTTTACTTCTGCACAGATTGTCCTTGCTTCAGATAGACCAGGACTCAGCCAATTTGTTCTGTGTAAGGTCAGAAAATAAAAGCTTTTGGCACTATGGGTCATACTGTCTCTGTTGCAACAATTTAATCTTGTAGTGTGAAATCAGTCACTTAAGCAAAGAGCACATAAATGAATGACCGTGCCTGTGTTGTTTTCAGTGAAACTTTATTTACAAAAACAGGTAGCAGGCCAGATGGGGCCCCCACAGTCCATAGTTCCCAGGCCCAAGATAGAGGTAGCTCTGCGTGCCTCAGTCCTGGAATAAGGAGGAACACAGCAGAAACTCAGTAACTTGCAGTGGGCATATAGCACGATAGAAAATACAATGTTTGTTTTGTAAGCCACTAAGTCTGGGGGTCATTTGTTACCACACTATAACTCAGCCTGATTGATACATGAGTATATATCAATAACCTCTTTGGGCTCGGTGCCTGTGGCTCAAGCGGCTAAGGCGCCAGCCACATACACCTAAGGTGGCGGGTTCGAATCCCCAGCCTGGGCCCGCCAAACAACAATGATGGCTGCAACCAAAAAATGGCCAGGCGTTGTGGTGGGCGCCTAGTCCCAGCTACTTGGGAGGCTGAGGCAGGAGACTCGCTTGAGCCCAGGAGTTGGAGGTTGCTATGAGCTGTGATGCCATGGCACTCTACCCAGGGGGATAGCTGAGGCTCCGTCTCAAAAAAAAAAAAAAAAAAAAAACCTCTTTGCAAGTAACAAAAGTTCAGTTTCTGTGACTCAAGATTGATTTTACACAATTTGAGTAAGGTAAACATTACTTTCTTTACATCTCAAGGTTAAAAAGCAAAAGCCAATGCCCTTTACTTCTGTGACACAGTCTCACATCAATTAGTGGGGCCTGTAACCCCACTGCCCTTATCATCACACAGCAGCAAGGTCACACAGTGTCCCATCAACACTGGAGCAGAAGCCCAGAGAACCAGAATCTAGTCCTCAATTTACCTCAAATTACTTGTTTAACTCTGAGCCCCCCATCTTGTTCTCTGGGTCTCCAGTTTTCCACGTGCTAAACAAAAAGATGTGCTGGTGTGGGGGTATCCTTCTGCAGCCTCTCCCATTTTAGGGCTCTTCCGAGAGCACAGTTTACCCATGACTGACAGCAACAGGCGGTTCGAAAATGACAACAAGTAACAAAAATCCCCTTTTGAAATGAATGCTGTCTGCCAGGACATGCATGTTGAGCAAGGACACAGCTCTCAGGAAAGTGGGGTCATTTTCCAGGCCCACAGGAAGCAGCACCAGGCAGCCAGCGGAACAAGGCTGCGGGGATGAAATGTGAGTTCTGTGCCCACGCTTCTCTGCATCCCAACTGAGAACACTCAGCAGTTTAGTCACTCTTGGCCTTGGGTATAAATTCCTTCATGCTCCTTGGTTGTTTCCAAAGTATGTTCTCATCTCAGATCAAGACTAAAAGCAGCAAACAGGACCCCTCATTTCTTTCTTTACTTTCATGCTTACAATGGGTTGAGGACCTCCTCAAGGCCGATACCAGGTGTGAAGGGCCTTGCCCAGCATCTGGTGCTGGTGGGATTTGGGCATGTGAGATTCCAGTTTAATCCCCATAGCAGGGCTTAATCCCTGAAGTCTGAATCAGTCATTGGCAGAGAGAATACTCTCCTCCGCCTTGTAAATTTCCATCCTCCAA